TATTGGGGAAGTTTTCTGTCAGCAATTCTTTAATGATCCTCTCTGTGTCTTCTGTTTTCTCCCTGTGTTGTGGAACTCTGACCACTAGCGAATTTTTGCTTTTGATAGTATCCCACATAATTCTCAGGGTCTCTTCATTTTTCTTCATTCTTTTTTCTGATTTTTCCTCAGAGTTGTATCCAAGTGTTTGTCTTTAATTCCGCTGATCGTGTCTTCCACCATTTCAAATCTGCTCCTCAGCCCTTCTATTATACTGTCCATTTCTGAAATCTTGTTGTTTATCTTTTGGATTTCTAATTGTTGTTTTTGTATAATTTCTAGTTGTGAATTTATTTTGGCATTTGCTCCTGCATTATTTTCCTGAATTCTTCCATTTTTTGTCTGTATTTTCCATGAATTTGTCTGCCTTTTCCATGAATTTGTCTAGTTGTTCCTCATTTTTGTCTGCTTTTTGCTTCAACTCTTGGATAATTCTGAGTATTAGGGATTTGAATTCCCAATCAGGTAGTTCCAACGCCTTTTCTTCTACTGGAAAGTCATCTTGTGTTTTATTTTGGATGCCTACTGGAACCATCCTGTCCTGTTTTTGTAAATGTTTCAATATTGTCTGCTGTCTTCGGGGCAATCAGTATTTATTTTTCTCGTTTATTGATTGTAGTTTTGTTTCATCCTTTTTTTTTTTTTTAATTTGTCTACATCTGAGCAGGCCAGCTGTGTGTTCTTTGTTGTTTGCTCTTCTGTGGGCATGATACTTCTCACCTCCTTCTCCAATTGGCAGGGTCAGTCGCTCAGATATGGTACAGCAGGGCAGGTTTAGCTAAAGAGAAGTTGCTGGGATGGGTTACTTGATGTACGGCCTAGCTAGGAGGCGTAGAGGTATTCAGTGCCAGGTATACAGGGGACAGGAAGAGAAGGAAGGTATAGTGAGACGAGAAACTGAATAACGAGGAAAGACAAAAAGGGAAAAAGAAGGAAAAGAAAAGAAAACAAATTTAAAAAAAGAACAAGAAAACTCCCCAAAAAACAACAACAACAAAAACTCACGAGAAAAGAACTGCCCTCAAGGATCCCACTGCATGTCTTGCACAAGCTGAGGGGGTAGGTCCTAAGCCGCACAGCACCACTGGCCCAGAATGGGTTCCCAACTCAAGAAAAGAAACAGAAAACAAACAAACAAAGGCCCCTGGATCCCACCAGCATGGCAGCACAGACCAGGAAGCAGTTCCACACTTGAACGGAGCTCCACAGCTCCTTGGGAAGAAGCAAAGATGGCACATGGAGCCAGGTATTTGAGCAAAAGGAGGGACAGGTGGTAAGAGGTAAGGAAGAAATCAAAAGAAGCGGAAAAAAGCAACACTAGCAGCCAACAAATGGCACTAAGAGCATCAGCCAGTGTGGGCAGGTGGAATCCAAGCAGCTGGTGCTTCCTGGCCAAAAGACTGTGGCCGCAGGAAGCAGAGGAGGCCGAGTGGGGGTGAAGAATGGTCGGGCATGGGAAAGCGTATATCACTGTTTACTGGTTGTTCTGTCTCCTGCTGGAAGCTCTGTGAAGCTGCTTTCTCATACCCCCTATTTGCTGGTCTCTGATAGAAGTCCAAGATGGTGGATCCATGCTGCATTAGCTGATAGGGGACCTCTCCATGTATGTCCCCTCGCTCTCTGTTCTCTGTCAGTTTCTTATTCCTTTTGGTGCTTGTCTGAGTTCTTTATCTCTTCATTTGATGTTTAGGATTTCAGGATTGCTGTTTTCTCTGTTTGGCTTAGTTTTTTGGATCTTTGCTGTGGAGGGATGGCGTCATTTGATTTCTTGACTGCTGTTTCCATGGGTGTTGACTGCGGATCCAAGCAAAGTTTTTCGTAATTAAGAATAACGCTGCAAAAAAAATTTGTGCACAGGTTTTTGTGTGAACCAAAGTGTTCATTTCTCTCAGATAAATAGCAAAGAATGAGATTGCGGGTCATATTGTAAGCTTATGCTTAACATTATATGACTTTGCCAAACTGTTTTCCAAAGTAGTATTCTCACCAGCAATGTATGAGAGTTCTAGTTGCTCCACATTATTGCCAGCATTTGGTATTGACAGGTTTTTGAGATTTTTGCTTTTGGTATTTTTTCAGTGGAGTTTTGGAATAAAGAGGTATTACCCCTAGTGCCTGCCACCTTCCTTTCAGCCAACTTTGTAATTTCCTGCTATTTCAGCAAAACTACTGAAACAATGGTCCTTCTGCTGGAGTTGAACCCTCTTGCCTTTTGGGAGAGTAGGCTGGACTGGAACCTGGACTGCCATTTCTTTAATTTTACTCCAAATTTGACTTAACTTTTATGGGTGCCTAAAAAATAAAAGAAGCCAAGTAATTTTGAATTATATGTAAATTTATTTCAAATGTAATATTTTTAATAAACTTGACAGAGTGTACTCCAAATAAAAACAAATAGACTATTGGATATTTAATCTCAATATTTATATTCAACTTATTGTTAGTATGTATCACATTAAGAAATTTTTTCTATTCTTAGTTTGTACTATATCTTTATTATGAAGTATGTTGAACTTTATCAAAAATTTTTTTCTATATTTATCATATGTTCTTCTATCTTTTAAGGTGGTTAATTACAATAATTGATACTTAAATGTTAAATCAACCTTGCATTCTTGGGGGTAAAATCCATGGAGTTATTATCCTTAAATATACTGCAAAATTCAGTGTGCTAATATTTTTCCTAAGAATTTGTTCATGAGGGACATTTACCAGTCATTTTCCTTCTTATCTTGTGCTTGACAGATTTTGGAATAAAGGTTATTGTGATGGTTAAGGTTATGTGTCAACTTGGCTGGGCCATGATTCTCAGTGGTTTGGCAGTTATGTAATGATGTAGTCTGGCTGTTATGTAATGATGTAGTCATCCTCCATAATGTGATATGATGTGATCAGCCAATCAGCTGTAAGGGGAGTTTCCTCAGGGGTATGGCTACATCCAATATATATATGAACGTTCTGGCAAAGCTTGCTCACTTGCTCTGGTCCTACATCCAGCTCATCATCATCTGACCTCCGGTTCTTGGGACATCAGCCAGTGGCCTGCCATACTGCCTGCCAATCTTGGGATTTGTTGGCCTCTGCAGCCTGTAAGCCAGCAGCCTCCTGTCTCACCTGCCAATCTTGGATTCATCAGCCTCCACAGCCTGTGAGCCAGTGGCCTTCTGTCTCACCTGCTGATCTTGGGTTCATCGGCCCCTACAATTATGTGAGTCAGAAAAAGGCTACAGCCTGATGTCTGACCCACAGACTTGGGACTTTCCAGCCTCTACAACAGCAAGAGCCATTTCTTTGAGATAAATCTCTCTCTGTACATTATATATATAT